CTGCCGGAGAGATCGTGGCAACGGCTGCGGGGGTCTTTGTGTGCGCTAAGAGTAGTTGTCCGGTAAGGAAGGAGAATAAACTGCCCCTTGAAGCTGCGGAACTGACGTTACTCTCTTCATTCGTGACGTAGTGGTAAACGTCGGAATCTCCGACAAGGAAGGAAAGGCATCCCGAAAGGAATCTCCTTTTAAGTCTGTGCTTTCTAAAATAGCTCATCTAGCGTCTTTTGGGTTCGTAGCAGCTGTTCATTGGAAATCCCTCTAGCGCGACCTCCTGCCCAGAGTGGGACTCTTGCCAGCACTCAAGTGTCAGCCGCAGATTTGTCTAGCTGAGCCTCGAAAACCTGCACGGCTGGAGGAAGCTCTGTGGGCTCTTGGGGGACTGTTCCACTGCTCCCTGAAAGGATGTTTGGCTTGTTTCCGCTATGTAATTGATAACATTTTAGACACAGTCTTGAAATGAACCATCCCATCGCCGAAATAAACGGGAAAGATTTTTTCCTTTAGTATGGTGTGTGAACAGGGGATGAGCCTGAATGCTATACATTGCATAATGTTCTCAAAAACATGCATTAATAGCTCTATAAAAGGAATATGTAATAACTGGGGTAAGCATCCTACTGCTAGTGAGAATGCACGGAAGAAGAGCCCAAGAGAAGCTGAGAATTACCATTTCTTTGACTTGGAGTTACAGTCAGTGTTTCTTGGATTGGACCGGAAGTATGATAATAAAGAGCACCAGAAGCAGTGGCCTGCAGTGTTCCACAAAGCTGAATACTTAAGAGAACATTCACGGGATTGAATGGGATGTTGAGGGCTGGTCCATCTCAGTATGTGCCTCTTCTGAGTTCTGAGAGTTTTACTGTAAGAAGCTTCCTGAACTGAGATTTGAATGAAGGACTAGGGGAGTTTATGAATATTCGGTTGTGGAAGGCATTGAATAAACGCGTTTCTTCAACTTTTTGAAATTCGAAAGAAAACTTGGTACCATATGAAGTTATAATGATGTGTGAAGGGTAAAGAAGTTTAAATGTGGTCTTCACAGGGCAACAGGCAGTAGGCACAAACAGAAACCCAGAAAATTCCACTTGAACACAAGAAAGCATTTCTTTACTGTGAAGGTGGTTGAGCACTGAAACAGGTTGCACAGAGACCTTAAGGAGGCTCCATCCTTGCAGATACTCAAAACCTGACTGGACACGGTTCTGGGCAACCTGCTCCAGCTGACCCTGCATGGGGAGTTAGTCCCTGCGAGGGGAGTTAGACCAGATGATCTCTAGAGGTCCCTTCCAACCCCAGCTATTAAAATTCCATAATTTAAATTCAAAATCGTATAAATCCCTATAGAATCTAGTAAGAATAGGAATGTTTTTATTCAAATACAGTTAAAACGTTTCGTCAGTGATCCTTGTCTTTAAACAACAATGCTGTGTCTATAGTAGCAATAGGTCTAGCAAAATATCAGATCTCAGGAGAGGAGTCACTCCACTGGCTGCCTTGAGAAATAAATTTAACTATACCAATAATACTTATTAGAAAAAAAGAATGGGGATTTCTTTTATACTTATTTATAAATTGGACGGATCACGAGATGACAGTCTCAGCTGGACACCGTAAGAGACCCAATATATTTGAGAAGGCTCAGATACTGGTGGTTTGTTGGACTAATAGATTATCTCAGATAAATGTATTAAGGCCAAGTTCAGGAGCAGCTATTTTCCCCTCCTTGGTAAAAGAATCTATAGGAAGACCTTTAATTTTCCTTAACCAGGCCTTCTTGCTCTCTTTTTGTTGATCTTCCATGAGTTTTGTCTGCTTTGCCTGATACTGCACTGTTGTCGCTTCCTCGTACGCTACCTTCTGTTTTCCTGTAAAAAGCCTGAATCCACTCTTAATCCGATAAGGATCTGCAGCATATTGAAGAAAGGGCTTTTTTCTTCTGGAAACTGCTTCAGTTGTCACTCGTACAATCATGGGTGTTGATTTTATTGGTCCCGAGGAAGTTGTGAAGCGGCCGATAAGCTGAACCCCAACTTCAGGTAGGGGAATGACTTTACCATGGCCACCACGAGCTTTCTTTTCTTCCAGCAAACCACAATATGAGTACAATGGAGGGAGCAGGAAGGGAGGACTTCACGTGGGTCCATGCAAAGAGTTTATTAGCTTGAGCTGCAACCTTTTCGTTTCAAAGGCTGTTGAAATTCTTTTCATGGTCAGAGAATCACTGTTAGATCTCATGTGTTGGAGCTGGACTGTCTGAACCTTTTTGTGCTGCATAGGGGTTTCGTATATTTGCATTTTTTCAGGGCGTTCTTGCTGATGCAGTGGAGGTTCCCGTGCTTCCGTGACTGTTGGAGTACGCTTAATACTGGAGCTGACTGGCGCTGAATTGTACCTGTTCTGCAGTGTATTGGTAGTTAAGAGTATCTGGTTAGGGGACATTGGACAGCCGGGGCCCCTTTTCTTTTTATACTGTAAAGTGGCTTCTGTCCTGTCAGCATGCGCAGGTACATAGAAGGAAGAGCCATATTCAGATTCACCATCTGTTTAAAAAAAAAAAAAAAAAAAGCACATTGTCTGAATATGGTTTGAATATAGTTGGAGTCAGGGATAGTTCTTGTGATCTTTGGCAGGGTGCTACTCTGAGCTGGGAGAGGAATGGATGCCAAACTGATAGGCATACAGAGAGTCCAGGTTTATCTGCAGAACACGCAGTGTAAGAAACTACAAGCCAATGATGCCCATTTCAGTTTGTTCAGCCTCAGCCTCGCTACTGATACTGCTAACATCTACCGCCCCCTTTCTCATCCCATGGTTTGTGCATTGGAGAAAGGGTTAAACACAAGTCACTTTCTGATAGATGTCTCTGAAATAGCCTGTGTCTGAAAACTACTTTGAACAATTACTACTCAGAGCTGAATTTGAGTTGGAAAGGACAAGACATGCTTCATAACCTACCTGCGATGTCTCAAGTCATTTAGGGAGTGATATCTGGTGTATGACGCACCAAGATGGATTGTGTGATTATGCCCTTAACTAAAAAATAGAGATTTTAACAAAACGGTGTAGGATACTCAGTACCACGGCCTTGCCATAGCAATTCACTTTGTCACTTTGTTTTGCAATGTCGTGCCATTTGCATGTCAATTGTTTTGCAATACAGCTCTGTTTTTCCAAACTGGTTAACTGAAACTTCTGCCCTGTGCAAGTTTATTTCATGTAGCATTAGGTTATAGCTCTGAAAGGCAGAATACAGGAAAACAGCTAAGGAAAATCATTGCTCCTTGTTCCTCAGTCCCAGAATTTAGCACTGTTTGATCTGCAAGTACACATGGCCCTGGATCTCAGTTACAGGCACCATGAATTTGGGGTTGGAGACGTTCAGCTGATCTAAGCTGGTCTGTTGATTTCACAGTCTGTCTTTCTTAGGCTCTGAGATCTCTATATAATTCCCAACAGATTCTGAAATTCAAACCTGGAAAACACTATAAATTAAGGAGAAAAATGCCATGTGGCCAAGGACTATGTTTGTGATCAGTGCTATCTCATTTTCAAAATTTAGGTTACCGTGTCACTGTTGGCTAGCTGAGACGATTTGCCAACAACGTATTTTTAAGATGATTTTCTGAGTAACTGGTATTGATCTATTTTACCCCCTGCAAACCTTTCATCCAGAATGATCTTCTCTTCTCGAGATCACTACTTTTTCCTTAATCAATTCATTTATCTCAGGTGCACTCGTTTTAAGCGTTACCGTCCTATCTGGCTTTAACGAGTTCTTACCAGTATCTGCTGCTGTCTTTGCAAAATATGCTCTTTTTGACTTTTCTGAGTCAATCGTATGGAGTTGGTTATCAGGAATGGAAAGCTTTTTCTTCTGCTGTGCCTGAATGCTAAAAGATTTTGTGCTCTTGAGCAAATTCTGCTGTGGCTGGCAAGCTGCTGCTTTCATCAGTTTGTAGCGGAGAGCTAGAAAAGGGAAGAATGAATAATCTCTGATAACTTTGATGATGTTAAACATTGATGTCCTCCCTACCCCTGCCTTTTTTTTTTTCAATATGTCATAACTGATGGGATTTCAAGTCCCTGGTTACCATTTTGCCTCTTATCACAGCTTCTAAAGGTCTAGGTATTAGAAATAAATCCATAAGTATTCAATTAGCAAAAAACATCATAGACAATTCAAAGATAATGTAGCAAATGCTGATTTTTAAAAGTATTACTATTAAATGTATATGTATACAGCTTATATATATTTGTTGCCACGGAAATTAACTTATAGTTAATTCCCTGTTTGTTTCCTGCTTCTGCAAACTGGATCTTTCAGCAAGTAGAGCTGCATCAGAGAAGTCAGCATTTGAAGGTCTTAAAAGTATGACAGCTTTCTTAGCCCATCAATTTATCTGCAACACAGTTTGAATGTGGAGCTGGAGGTTTGTGATAAATACCGTATTAAATACCTGCAGACTTAGAAAAGAAAAAAATATATATATCATAATGGTAGTTTAAAAGGTGCCAGGTCATGTGCAGTTGCATTTCCCAGGGATGACAGATTCTCTGTGCAGGTGCTCCTAAAACTTTCTGGGGTGTTTTTTAATAAATAATTCGAGCATTGAATCAGCTGCATATTTCAGCGCAACACCCAAGTATAAGAATATGAATAATACTACTGATTTCTGCATTATTCAGTGAGAAAATGACAGTGACTGCTGAATTTGTACCAGCCTTCTTTCCAAAAAGGTGTAATTTCTAGGCTTTTGTAAAGCCTTTGCAGAACCACTGAGATGCAGCAGTACGTCTACCAGATTGCTCTGCAAAAAGTGGAGAATCTGCATATTGGTTAGGATGAAGGCAGTGGGTACTTGAAACTGTTTCAAAACTCAGTTTAGAAATTGATGCCAGAGTATTGCAAAGGGCATATGTAGTACTTTGAGACATTCCAGAGCCTTTCAGTGACCGGCAGCAGATCAAGTAAGACAGCATTAGCTGGTCAGCATCTTTCGTCTCCAGAGGAAGCTGATAGGTCTTCTGGCTGACTTTGTTGTGTTTCATTCGCTGAAAGTGAACCGGTGGTTTGCTTGAAAGCCCTTTGCGCTGTTCCTTTTTCTTTCCTGCCGTCTCTCGGTCAGTCTTTAACGTATAGTTCCAATTGACATCCTCAAACTGGAACATCAGCAGACAGCTCAGTGCATTGATCACCATCCTGGAAAATGGAAACGAATGGTATTAGAAGCATGAGCTGTCATTAACAAAGCAGTTATTAGCTGACGGATCCATTTGCTTGTGTGTATTACAAACCTTGGGGTACTTCAACAGACGTGAGGTAATTATTGCTTGTTTAAGGAAGAGACAAGCAGTATCGATTACTTACTTTCTTGTCTCTGCAATTAAATGCTGCATGTTCTAATTCATGTAGTTTGTGTGAACTCTGCAGGGTTCTTTCCATTCAACTCTAAGGCATAATTAATTTTTAGGATGAAACTTCCTGACAGTGGGCTGAGTTATACCAGTATAATGCCAACAGAGATTGGAGGTACATTATTATTAGGGACACCTAAACCTAAATTGGAGGGGGAGGAAGCAGAGAACTACCTTTAGTCTAGAGGTATGGATGTGATGGAACCTGGAAGAATTTTCCATGATTGTTTTTATGAGAGACAACAGGTCATGGAACAGGCAAAGGCCTTCGTAGGCCTTGACTTGATCCTGCCAACTTCTTAAACTTGAGTTACCAATTTGGCTTTATAGCTGGGTCTCTATCTTAAGTTGCAGAGAAACATGCTACACGCAAGAAGTTGTAGGTTACTAAATGGTCTGAACAAATCCATTTTTAGCCACTGTGAATAAAACAAATTATTGAAGTGGTCAATAAACAGCAGGGTCTTTTAAAACCATTTGTTAGGACGGTGTAATACAAAAATACACAGTCTCTTAATTTGCAAAGTGATCTACCTAATCAGTTGAGGGCCTGATTGCAACTGTTATCACCAACCTATTTTCTGCAACACAGAAAGAGGATATGGGGTCCCCTCTGCTGTTAGCCCTCATCACTTTCAAGCAGCTTCCAGTCAGGTAGTTAAATATACGAATCTTTCCATCAGCACAGCCACTGACGACTCTGAGATAGAGAAACTCCAGAAACAGAACTCCTCTGCAAACAAGACACACGAGTATTGGTACATTCATCATGCTTTCAGGAAGAGACCAGAGCAACTAACTCTTTTGTCGTGGATGAGATACGAAGGTCTGTTTCCGTCAACAGGTTAAAAAAAAGTGGCTGATCAAGATTTTTAAAAGGCCTGGCAGTGAATTCCTTTATAAGCACTCCCACCTTTGGAAGAGGACTGAGATGACTGCGTCCAAACAAACAAAAAGAACAAAGCCTTCTCCGAGCAACCAGTGTGCTTATGGCCATCTGTTGCATTTTAAATTTCATGTTTATCTCTAAGAAAATAAATGAAAACAATCTGATGCTACAATTTTCACAGTTTTAATATACAATTAAAACATCACAAAGTGACATAATACACAGTTGATAGGGCTTTACAGCATATAACTCAGTCAAATTTCACATGCACATTATTCTCTATTCTTGATCAGATAGTATGATACCCTAGTAAAAATAGATTGGGATCTTTGAAATATTGTACTATTGTACTATAAAGGCTCACAGTCTTAATTCGTCCTTGTTTGTGAGCAAGTGGTTATATATTTGCATTTTAGGTTATTACGGGTCTGATAAACTGACAAACACTTGTTACGGCCACCTATTGCCTGATGTTACTTTTAAGATGAAGACTGAGAGCAGGGATGTTTCAAATTCTAGGGATGGTAATTCAGGCATTTTATGTTCCTGTGAAGGAGACATATTCTTTACAGATTTGTAGTGAACATTTATGGATAACTTGAAAGACATATGTGATTCCTACTTGGGGTGGCGGAAAGCTGTTACGCATCTCTTATGGTTTCCCAGCATGCTCCATCCCAGGGCATATCCATCAGTGCTTCCCGTAACTAGGTGCCACTGATCAAAGGACAAGCACTTAACTGGACCTTGGTGCCCTTCTAATATCTGCAAAGTAAAACAAATAGATGTAACACAGTATCAGCATTCTGGATGTAAACATAGCGGGACACCTTACTGCAGGCACAATACCATCTTCATAGAAGCTTTATCAGGTTGTATTAAAATATATGAATACCCAACATGGGTAACTGTGTTAGTTTAATAGTCCCTGATAAGAAACATTCTTATGCAGCAGCCTGCTGCTGCTGACTAGCTACTATCATGGAATTATCATCATTTCCCATAATCACTATATGTGCTAAATATGTTACTGCATCGTAGAGCTGCAGTCTTCTTCAGCTCGGGTGGAAAGAGTTTCTCTTCTTTCAGAGTTGTGGACTAATACTAATTCTGGACATCTCCTAATTAGCAACTCCGGCCTCAATCTTTAAATTGCAGAGCAGCTAGCCAGCTGCTTCAACTTTATAAACTGTTACTGGTTCAGAAAGCAGCAAATTTCACATTTTGGGCTCATGTGACACCTCCAACCCTGGAAGCTGTTGGTCAAACCCTCTCGCTCCCTTCCCAGATTGTCATACAAAAGCAGATTCTGCACAGAGCAGATCACGATGGGGATTTGAGCAAGGTAAATCAAACCCCAGGTTAGAATTTGGCCAGTTGTTTGCAAACCACTTTGTATAGCGTTGTCTCACCAATAACTCTGCAGTTTCTTTTGCTAGTTTAGACTGCCGGGGGGAGGGTTTTGTTTTTTCTTGGAAGTCTGTGACATAAACAAAAAGTCAGGATAAACTAGCATAGAAGGTTTTGGACAATTTAGCACAGAATCATCTATCTAAGAAGAAACTTACTTTGATCAGCGTGCCGGTATCAGCATACCAGACTTTCACAAGCCCTTTGTCACAACCACTGACGACATGGGTGCCATCCATTTTAACTACCCAAATGGTATTGTTGTGTTTCAGGGTCTTGAGGCATTTCCTGCTTTCCAAATCCCATACTGTTAGGAGCAAAGGGGAGAAATATTAAAAAATATCCATGTTGCAATGCTAAGTTTGGCTGAGTACAACGTGAATTAGAAGGTAATATTGGAATTTCAGTTGCACATTGTGCCTGCAGCTCAGCTTGGAGCCGGGTATTGACTTAAAGAGTTTAATTACGTGACTGAATTTTTAAATGCAAAAAAAAAAAAAAAGGCATATCCTAGAAAATGGCATATCCTTTTAATCCTTATTTTATAAATAAATAAAAGGAAATCTCTGGCAAAGCTGAAAATTGATACCGCTCTCCCAAGACTTGGTCTGGCGCTGAGGCCACAAAGCCATTTAAAACTGAATAAGAGCAGAAATAATGAGAATTTATGCAATGACACAGACCGCGCGTGTGTGTATGCACACACACTCACACAACTTATTATTCTGTAAGCAGCAGTATGAGAAAATAAAATCCATCCTCTGATTCATATACCTATTTTCAGAATCACACACTTTATATGTCACATTCATCATGACTCCAAGTACCCTGCCCATTTCGCTTTTGACCGGGAGCCTCCTGCTCTTGACTCTCACCTTTCACCATCCCATCTTTGGCTCCTGACACAAACTTATCTTTGTATAAATCCAGGCAAGTGATGGTCCCTGAGTGACCATGAAAGATTTTCGTACAAGCACCACTGTATATATCCCAGCATCTACAAAGTAAGGACCAAAAAGGGAATCCAGTGATTAATAACTAAATTGATGGCTTATTCATTGTTTGCTACTTAATATGGATTAAATCAGGAGTCATTCAACAGTGCTACTGGAGTAATGTAGGAACCATCAAATTAGCTTTTATATGAAATTTTTTTCTCAGGTAGTTTTTCATCCGCCTCCAAACCTGCCTGGAAACTTGTAGTTAGATTTCATCTCTGGTATAGTTACCTTAAATTAGCCTTCCGATGTAGACTTTTTTTTTAGATAACCACTCTTTTTTTTTTTTACTGGCCAGTCACAAGGTGACTTCTATTGACTTTAGGTAGAGAACTCACCTGATGCTGAGATCAAAGCTTGCACTGAGAACGAATCCTTTCTTCTCATTGAGGTACAGTGCTTTGATGCTCCCAGCATGGCCAGAGAGCAGAGGAAGCACTTCTTTCATTTCCATCACACCAAGAAACCTCACTTTTCGGTCTGCGGAGCCAACAGCTACCAAGTTTCCACCACTGTAGTGAATTACTCTGTTTGGGTCTGATCTGGATAAGAAGCAGCGATTGAGGTGAGCTTTAGCCAGGTAATGACATCTAACAGATCTCATCAGGCTGTAGGAGTTACTGACAGGCTTTTCTATGATGCTTGATGCTGAACTATAAGGCAAGCTGATGGACAACACGCTTAGGTACGTGAATCCTTTGCAGGGCACCACAAGCACGGTTCATGGTTTTATATACTCAGGTTTGTATCTGGACAGTAAGTTTAAAAAGGGGAGGTGGTTTCTCCCGGTATCATGTCCTTTGAGACCCTCTGTGGATTGCTAATCCTTACATCCCTGAAAATGACTCAGCTTGATATCTTATAAAAAAGTGGATTAGATACTGGGGATTCTTTAAGACTGATGCTGAGAGACCCTTTTCCAGCCACACGTTCCCATAGAGGGATCTCAGGACTTTCTGACAGATCTTCCAAAGTCACTCTTTGGCCCTACAGGATTAGTTCAGAAAGCAGCTGGACAGTCTACGTACTGGTCCGTGAGGACACGAATATTGTAGGAGCCACAGAAGACGTTTCTCTCTTCCAGCTGGATGGTGTCAGTTTGCAGACCATGATAAGCTAACTGCAGACTATCTTCTTCCTCCTCCTCCAGAGAGAGAAATACAAAAAAAAGAGGGGGGGGGGGAGGGGGGGGAAGAGTGCAGCATTACTCCATAGTACGTATTAGCTCGATTCCTACAGTGCTGATGAGCCTAATAGAGATAGAAAATGTCCATAGGGAACACCTAGTGTGCAGGAATTTCCCAGTTAGTACAGAATCACAGAATGGATGAGGTTGGAAGCGATCTAGAGATCGTCTAGTCCGATACCCCTGCTCAAGCAGGAGCACCTACAGCACATTGCCCGGGAATGCGTTCCAGACAGCTTTTGAATATCTCCAAGAAGGAGATTCCACAACCTCTCTGGGCAACCTGTCCCAAGGGTTGTTCTCTGTACGTCGTTCAGTGGCAAAAATGGAATACTTGATAAGTGCACCCTTTCGTCTTTGGGAAAAATTTAATGTCCTCATGATGTTGCCCAGCCTTGCCTTTGCCCCTGGCTTCAAGACTATTCATGGGACTGTGGGGAAGCATTAGTACAAGGCAGAAGTTCCTTCCATTCACAAATGCAGACTCCCTCCCATACAAAGGAGGGCTGAGCAAGTATTGGTCCTTGTGAATTGCTCATGATAGTGCAAGCCAGAAGCAGGAGTAGGAGAAGAGCAAAGCTGCACCTAATTCACAGTCCAGTCTCCCAAGATCATTATGGCCTCCTCCCTCCCCAAATGCTGAAACCTAGGATCTACGGAAGGCAAACCATCTCCAACAGACCTTCATTTTACTACTCCATTTGTGGTCTTTCACTTGGATGACATCTCCCTTTTTGTTTAACCGTGGAATTGTCACATTGACTATTTTAGCATAGTTGGAAACCACTCCCCTAGGGCACGATCCCTGGAATAAAGCAACAGAGTCAGCATTGTCACTGCAAAGCCCAAGCAACCAGAGGATACTGCTCATATGCTTGATCTCCATTCAACACTGCAGTTGCGTGCAAAACTGAGCTGCACACACTGGCTTGTTCTTTGGGAAAAATGCCATGTCCTCATGATGCTTGTTTAAGAGCACTGGGTTGCATTCACCACTTTATTGGTATAAGATTTAACTTCTTATGAAAAAATACAAATTTTTTCAAACTTAGAAGTCTTTTGCATCAATAAGCTGCAAAGTTTTTACATTTCGGGCGGGGAGGGAGGAGGATTTCAAAGCACGTCTCACCTTTAGTGACCACTCAATTGATTTGGAATCCCCATCCCCACTGAGGTGTGAAAGGCTCTCAGCAAGTCTTTATCAATAGAGAATTGTTTAAGATTCATTTTTTACGCATGGAACCTTTCATTAAGCCTTCTTGGAGTATTACCACAGAGCTGAGATTTCCATGCTCTCTTCCAAAATAATAGTGTGCACTCAATCATATAATCCCTAACTTTTGTCACTTTGGGGGATTTGCTTCTACTCTTAACTTAGTCTATGGGCACGTCTGTACTAACCAGGACAAACCTTTTCCCCAACTTCTGCTTGACTGTGTCCCAGCCACCCACTCTCACTTCTTGTGAGGAAACCCAGCGTTTTCATGTTCCTAACGGGGCACTAATGAAGTTCACTGTTCTGGCTGCCTCAGGGAGTTACTGTAGCTTTGCACCCTATCGCTGGCTCCTGAAAGTCCAGTGTTTTTGTTTGTGACCATACTTTACTTTACTAAAAATTCTTGATGATCCAATTTTAGACCTGCAGACTCTCTAAAGGTCAATAAAGGCTATTCTGTTGTGCTTACTTGCGACTGTGTGAACATCTAACCCAGCATAGCTCTGCAGAATGAGAAAGGAGGAAGAACGAACAGGATGAAGTTGAGAAGTGACCTCCAGAAAAGGCACTTCTATCTAATGGCCTGGGCAGCGAGAGAAAAAAATCCTCTTTTTAAAGTGCGTGATAACGGTAGAAGCCCAGGCCTCATACCTGCAAACACACGATCTCCTCCTGTCTTATTTTTTGTGACACATGTTCCCTCTTGACTTTCTTGGCCAGAAAAGCCCAACATTTACTCACAGCCGCACACGTGTTGAGGGACTTTCGGTCCAAAAGCCCTGAGGAATTAAAAGGACAGAGTGGCTAACCTCTACACATATTAGAGGCCATCTCTGAGCCTTAGGATAAACCATTCCTGGAAAATTAGAGGAGCTTTACCCAGGATGTACGCGGACAGGTGAGTTGGCAAGCAACGAATGAAGTCCTTGTACTTGTTGACGTGAGAGGCTGACTGGAGAGATGCAGGAACCACAGTGACACCTGGAGCAACTAAGGACACAACAGATGACTTACTCATCATATTAGGACCCTTCTGGAAGACATACTCACTGTTTTGGGGACAGAAGGACACTGTTGATAGTTGACCACCTAGAAGACAATGGAATTGACAGGCTCTAAGTGCTTGAGCTTCGGCATATATTAATGGTACAGTTGTTAGTAACGCAACGCAAAAGTCAGTTACTTTAAGCTGACTTTTGCAAATCCCTTCAGTAACGTACAGTTCCAAAGAAAATGGTGGGCATTCTCAAACTATGGGAGCAGGAAGTACTCAAATGTCTTGAAGAACGATTCACACTATCACGGGGCTTGAAGGTGCAAGCGTGTAGGATGCTAACTCTTCCTAGCTATCGCTGCCCTGAAAAGTACTGAGGGCTCTTCATAGGTGGAAAAAGATCAGGTGTTCAGATGTGCCATGGAACACCCTATGACGGGCAAGGTGGAAATGCAATGTGACATTTTTGTCCTTACAAATAAAAGATACTTTACCTACCTCTTCCACTTCTATCTACAGGAATCACCAGCACAGGAAGGGGTCTATCCTAGTCTTTAAGGGGAACATTAAAACACTCTTGTGGCAAGAACACAGCACTCTAGTCTGAAAGGAGTGGAAGGCCCTCTCAGCCTTCATCCATTGGATTTCCTTTCACGAAAGTATAGTTTTGTGCATGATATTGCAGAAAGAAAAAAAACGGGGACAAATTTATCTTCTACTCTCTCCAAGGTAACGGAAAGGTAAACACAACAAATGCTCTTCTCATATTACTTTTTTTTTTTCACGGTGTCCATAGACACCTCTAGCATCTTTGTCAAACTGCTAGGAAAGCCTTACGCTACAGGTGGTTTCTTTTAGGTGCAACGTGATCCACAGTGCTAGCTTATGGAGTTCAGATTGTGCTGATGGAACACCTTCAACCTTACAGAACAACATCTTGCCATACTCTGTGAGCAAAAGGGCCTTACCATATTTTTCATCTAAGCTATAAGATTGTGCTTCCAGCACCTCAGCAAATCTGGGAACTTGACTCAGAGCAAAAAAAAATCTGTTGAATCACATAACTTCTGCTTGTACCAGACTTCCTTGAATTTTCCAGCTAAGTATTGCCATGATAGGCTCTGCTTTTTGGCAAAACGAGCCCAGAACAGAATTGTTGCTAGGCAGTGCCAGTTGTTAATGTTCCACTTCCTTAGAAATGCCACACATTTTCTCTAATATTAAATACTCAGGTAGCGGTACCTGTATTACCGAACTGGCTGGTTTTTGCAGATGAACCTCTACTTGCAAGGGCTGCAGATGAAGCACTAACAGATTGTAATGCAAAATGAATCCGGCCGCTGGATTGAGGATGACTGTTGTCTTTGATGCTGTTTAGGAATTTAGGAGATGATTCATCTACATCCTCTTTATCTGGCAGAATTAAGCAAAAATTCAAACTTTACAATAGGCATCTTAGAGTTGAGTTAGGGGACTGCAGCAGTTAGAATAGGAAGTATATTATGCTATAGTATTTATTCCATCCCTCCTACGTATGCAGAATTAGTCCCTTCAGGGCTTTCTTTAGTATGGTTTTCATTACTTAAAGAATTCAATCGACAACCACTCCTTCTGAGATCTGTTGCCCAGAAGAATTCATGTCAGGAAGTTTTCTCCTTACTTTGCTGTCAACTATACACTATTGTAGGCTATACCGCTTTTTAATGATCACCGCTTTTAAACAAGTACTGCGCGCTCTGATGCCTGCATACAGGCTGGCACTGCAAGGGAGAGTTGGTCCTTGGAGGATAGCGCTGGGTCAGGATAAAGCTGGCAGGCCTGAGTCCCATCTGGCTCTGTTTGCTGCTGCCAGGAACGCCTCCGTTTCCTCCACAGCTTGTGCCCTCTCCCCCTGCTTTGCCCAATTATTTCCTACAGCTGGAAAGATCAGAGGCCTAGGTGATATAGGATTTGCAGTGTTAACCAGAAGGTTAATAGTGTGAGGCAAATAAAGCTACAATTAATAGTTAATGTCAGCTGAGCTGCTGCTTTCAGCAGTTGCCCTTTGTGCTGCCTGCATAGAGAAATGAAACATCTGCTTAAGAGGGGAACAGCCAGACCAGCAACAGCAGGAGCCGGCTGACTCCTGCAGATGACAAGAAGGAACCCAGCCCGTGCTGCTGGGCAATGTGACGTTCATCTTCAGCATCATCCCTGGTGCGTGGTGCTTGTGTTCTAGGGTAGGTCCTCTTCGCCTAGCTCACGAACAGTTGCCTTCAGCTTGCCTTAAAATCAGCCAGCTTGTGAGGTCTCAGCTGGAAGAAATCTGTGTAGTTCAGGGGAATCCAGCACAGTTCCCCAGCAGCCCCTAACAGGCCAGTATCTTTTATTCCTACAGTGATCATGTCAAAAGAAACTAAAGGGAAAACTGTCACAGCATCAGAGCCACCAAACAGTAAACTTGATGCAATTTATCACTGAAAGTTTTCTGTGGGAGTCTCTCCTAGATCAAAATGAGAGTTCCCTGGGCCACATCTTCAGCTGCGGAAGGAGGACACAGACCTGATTGCTCCGAAAGCAAGTGTTTTGGTCCACTGTTTTCTGCCTGATAAGAAGTAAATTAAAAAAATCAGTTGAAAATCTATATCATAGTATTTCCATACTTTTACCTAGCTCAGACAAGAACATTTGTCCCATGGGTCCTATGTATAACTAAAGGTAATCGTGAAAAGGGGAAGAGCTTTAGGCTAAGTTTTGCAATCTTGAGTGTCTAGTTAGTAACTGATCCTTTAATCCTGCCACACTGGCTATGTCCTTGGCTCACGCACACTGGAGCTATGCTGATTTACATCAGGTGACAATCTAGTCCCAGAAAGCTCTGTGGCTTTTGGTGCTACAAAGAATTAGAGAGTCTGAGTCTGGCCCTATGATTTCATTTTGACCTCAGTGAACATTGGTGCCCGGTTGGCAGGTGGGAGCTAACCTCTGCCATCAGCATCCTGCTTACCTGTTCTTGCAAGGACGCTTTGCTCTCGCACCAGGGCAGCTGCCGTAAGCAGTAACTTGGCATCACACAGTTTCAGTAAGAGCAGAGTGTAGTTTGCTTTAGTCCAATAGCCACTTTTTGCAAACCACCGCCACGTGTCCTGCATGTCTTGCTCTAGCCTTTGTGGATCCAAAGTGCCGTTGGAGCTGGAGATGTTCCAGTCTCTGAGGCTGTAAGTGATTTGGGAGCCCACGTAGGTGAAATCCTTCTCCTCGGTCACTCTCAGAAGTTTCTCAGTGTAGCTGAGTAAACTGAAACTGTCAAAACGCTTGATGATGCCCAGCAGGAACTTCCTCTGGGTGAGCGCGCCGGCTCGCGGGAACCACTCCTTGGTGGAGAAGATCCTCCAGGCCAACACACAGGTCTCACAGGTTTTGCACACGGGCACTAGGTCTGTTTCCTTCCCACATCGCAGACTAGGAGCAGAGTACAGGCTGTACTCCTGCCTCTCCATCCCTCCAGCTGCCCTCCTGGGGGCAAGTACAGCTCAGGGACAGTGGCCTGAGTGAGAGAGCCTGGAAGCCAGGAGCTTCCAGTTGGCCACCCGCTTGCCTCCTGCACAGCCCCACACGGGGATGGGGGTGCACGGGGACAGGGGCCTCAGCCCAGCATGAGACAGAAGCTTGTAGGTTCAGAAGCCTCAGTCCAGTGTAGGATGGAGGCCTATGGGGATGGAGAGCTGCAGGTTCGGAGGCCTCAACCCAGCATGGGATGGAGATCCATGGGGATGGAGGCACACAGGTTCAGGGGCTCAGCCCAGTATGGGATGGAGGCACGCAGGGATGGAAGGCTGCAGATTCAGAGACTTCAGGCCAGCGGAGAATAGAAGGCCGTGGGGGATGGAGATCCACAAGCTGGGAGGCTTCAGCCCAGGGTAGGATGGAGATCCATGAGGATGACGGCCCGGCAGGA